TTAGCATATTATGCTTTTATTATATAGGATGTGCAGCTTATGACAGAGGAGAGTCATGTTAAATTCATCTCAGTTTGATTATTTGATAGGTAGGTACTCTATTTGTGTTAACAAATAATCTGTACTTTTAACTTACTTTAAAAAATACATTTTCTTTTCTTTTACTTATTTATTTATTTTTGTTAATCACTGATCTTTTTCAGAGAGAGTAGAAGAGAGAGGGAAAGACAGAGAAACATCAATGTGAGAGAAACACATTGATTGGTTCCACAGGCTGACTCTCTATCCACTGAGTCAAATGGGCTAGGGCTCTTTAACTTATCTTGACACAAAAAGAAATGGTTTATAACCAGATCTGAATAATAGCAGCAAAACCTAAATATAAAAAAATAAAATTTAAATTTTAGATAAAGATAGGATAATATTTTGAAGAAATAAAGGTGGGAAATATTTGTTAATATTTTATGGTTCTTAGTGTGAGATGTTAGACTATTAAGTATTTTTATTTTAAAAAATATTTTGCTGAGGATTTGTTCATCAAAGTTTATGAGAAATAGTGGTCTGTAGTTTTCTTTTAATGCCTTTGTTTAGTGTTGGTATTAGAGTAATCCTGGTCTCATAGAATTAGTTAGGAAGTATTCCCTCTGCTTCCATCCTTTGAAAGAAATTGTAGAGAATTTTTATAATTTCTTTCTAAAATGTTTGGTAGTATTCACTGTTGTGTCTTTCAAGAATTGGTTTACTTTTAAAATGCTCTATGCATGAAAAGGCTTCATTAAATAACAAAACATCAAGTTGCACACTGGGAATAAATAATTATTAAATAGGTGAACAAAATTGGTTTAATATCCAGTATATATAGTGAAGTGATGGTGAAATAATGATGCAATTTTTCTTTCTTAGTCTGTTAATATGATGAACTGCATGAACTGATTTGAATGTTGAACCAGCCTTGCATATCTGGGATAAATCTCAGTTGGTAGTGGTCTATATACCTTTTTAAATCAGTTAATATTTTTTTTGAGAATTTTTGCTTCTATATTCATGAGAGATATTGGCCTACAATTTTCAAATGCTAGCCTCATTGAATGAATTAGGAATATTTTCTCTGCTTCTACCCTATGAAGGAGATTGTAGAGAATTGGTATAATCTCCTCCTTAAATGTTTGGTAGAATCTACTAGTTTTTAATTATTAGAAGATTTTTCTATCCTATATAATAAAAGCCTAATAACCAAATCGACTGAACAGCAGAACGACCTGTCGCTATGATGTGCACTGACCACCAGGGGGCAGATGCTTAATGCAGGAGCTGCCCCTAGCCCGCAGGCCCCAGGCCGGCCAAGGCGGGTGCCAGCAGGGTCCCTCAATTGCTCCACCAGTCGCCCCACAGATTGGCCCTGATTGCTGGCCAGGCCTAGGGACCCTGCTTATTTATATTATTTCTTCTTGTGTAAATTTTGGTAGATTATGCCTTTCAAGCTTTCAAGGACTTGGTTCATTTCATCAAGATTATTAAATTTGTGGGAATAGAGTTGTTCATAGTATTCATTTATTATTCTATTAATGTCCATGGGACTTGTAGTGATGTTCCCTCTTTCATTTCTAATATTAGTAATATGTATCCTCTCTTTTTTCTTTTTTTAAAAAAATATATTTTATTGATTTTTTACAGAGAGAAAGGGAGAGGGATAGAGAGTTAGAAACATCAATGAGAGAGAAACATCGATCAGCTGCCTCTTGCACACTCCCCACTGGGGATGTGCCCGCAACCAAGGTACATGCCCTTGACTGGAATCGAACTTGGGACCCCTCAGTCCGCAGGTTGATGCTCTATCCACTGAGCCAAACCGGTTAGAGATCCTCTCTTTTTTCTTAGACTGACTAGAGGTTTACTGATTTTATTGCTCTTTTCAAAGAACCATCTTTTGGTTTAATTGCTTTTCTCTATTTATTATTCCCTATTTTTAATTTTATTGAATTCTGCTCTACTTCTTATTATTTCTTTTCTTTAGCTTACTTTGGATTTAACTTGTTCCTCTTTTTCTAGATTCCTAAAATGGAAACTTGGATTACTGATTTGAGATTTTTCTTTTTTTCTAATATATGCATTCAATGCTCTACATCTGCTTTCACAGCATTCAACAAATTTTGATAAATTGTGTTTCTGTTTTTATTTAGTTAAAATATTTTAAATTTCTCTTGAGATTACTCTTTCTCCCATGTATTATTTAGAAATAGGTTTAATCCCCAGATAATTTGGTATTTCCAGTTGTCTTTTTATTATGAGAGTGGACTTCCATTCTTTAAAATTTGTTGAGGTGTGTTTTATGGCCCAGAATGTGGTATATTTTGGTGAATGTTTCATGTGAGATTGAGAAAATCTGTATTCTACTGTTGTTAAACGAAGTAGTCTATAGATGTCAATGATATTCAGTTGATTGATGATGTTGAGTTCAACTAAAGCCATTACTGACTTTCTGCTTGCTGGATCTCTCCATTTCTGACAGAGGGGTGTCAGAAACACAGCCAGAGCCTAGCCAGAGCTCTGCTCTGAGTCCATATATTCTCCTGACTTCTGTTAGACTACACCAACTATCTGGGCAGGTTCCTTCTCAGACCCTGCCCATTGCACTAACTGTTGGGCCAAGCCCCTCTGCCTAGGGACTGGACCTTCTTGGAGGCTGGGTCTTAGACGGAGAAGCCATGAGAAGTTGTGGGTGTATAAGAATGAGTCTTTATTGTAGAAGCCAGTGGCCATATAGCTATTAGACAGGACAGTTCTTCACAGCAATCCCATATAGGCAGCCACACACTGGCTGGTAAATACATGTTTTTCCCACACAGTAGTAGCAGTCACTGTACCCACAGTTATTATCTAAGCAGCCTCACACTGCCTCCTAGACTCACTACCTCACATAGAAGTGACACCTGAGTTATCTGGCTCAGCAGCTTCTCTCTCCCCTGCCCAGCACACTAGCTGGTCTCTGTAGCCTCACATACAAACTACCTCTGAGCTTCTCTCTCAGCACAGTGGTTGGTTAATTACATGTATTATATCTACTTAGACAAAGGAGGCTAGTTGCCAACAATGACATCAATCATTTGGCTATAGAAGGGCAGAGCATACTGTGAGATCACTGCGGCCTTGCAGCTGTGTAGTCCTTGGATATTTCTGATTAAGATTCCCATGTTCAGAGTGGCCTTGGCCATCCAGAATACTATCAATGAGGCCTCCAAACTCTAATTAGCCTTGACTATCCGGGAACTCTGGCTTGGTTCCCACAAGGGGTATTGAAGTCTCCAACTATGATAACGAATCCACCTATTTTTCCTTGCAGTTTTATCAGTTTCGTGTCAGGTAGACGGATACTGTTGTTAGGTACCTACACACAGAAGATCTTTTTTTAAACATATTTTATTCATTTTTTACAGGGAGGAAGGGAGAGGGATAGAGAGTTAGAAACATCGATGAGAGAGAAACATTGATCAGCTGCCTCCTGCACACTCCCTACTGGGGATGTGCCTACAACCAAGGTACATGCCCTTGACCAGAATCGAACCTGGGCCCTTTCAGTCCACAGGCCGACACTCTATCCACTGAGCCAAATCAGTTAGGGCACACAGAAGATCTTTATGTCTCTTCAAAGGCATTCTCCAGTGCTGTTAGTTTTGTATCTCCAGCATTTCTATTTGGTTCTTTTGGAGGATTTTCATTCTTTTGTTCATATTTCTTACATGTTCTTGCATGCTGTCTAGTTTATCCATTAGCATATTAATCATAGTTGTTTTAAATTCCTGGTGTGATAATTCCAATATCCCTGCTGTGTATGGTTCTGATGACTGCTGTCTCTCCTCAAATTGTGTTTTTGGCCTTTGGTATGCCTTGTAATTTTTCTTTACAACTGAACATGATGTAGCAGGTCAAAGGAACTGCTATCAATAGGACTTAGCAACACTTCCCAGGAAGCGTTCTATAGCGCTATGGTTAGGTCCAGTTTTTTTAGTGAACCTCTGCCTCTGGACTGTAAGCTTCACAAGTATTTCTCAGTTTTTTACCCTGCTCGCAGGTGGAAGAGGATGGCTGGATGGTCTGAAATTGGGTATTTCCTTTTTCCAGGTCAGAAGGGCTCTGATAATACCCCAGAAGGTTAGGCTCTGGATAATTAGTTACTCCTGAGGGCAGGCCTTGTTAAAAAGAATAGAGTGCTCTGTAATATTTCAGAATGGCTCCTTTTTCCTCCCCTATGGAGGAGCCCAAAGAAATTTTACTTTAATATTTATTGTGGGAATGTGGTTGATTGAACTTTGTACTTGTTAGGGAAGAGAGGGGACTTCCAAGCACCTTACATGCAGAACCACAATATTGAGTATATTATAGAAAACTCACATTTATCCATAAGAAAACATCAACAACTAATAGAAAAAAATAAGCTAAATTTATGAACAGGCATCTCAGAAGAGAAAACCAGCCTCCTCTCCTCCTGCACCCTCCCATGATATTACAGTATGTGAAATGATCATTATTCTCAATGGTAATTAGGGAAAAGCAAATGCAAACCACAACGAAATAGAATTTCATTTACATCAGAATAATGGCAATATTAGTTATACTGAAATTCATGCCTTGTGCAAAGTCATTTGTCAGAAACTTCTATGAAGTTGTAGTTGGTGTGAATTGAGGAAGAAGCCACTAGAATGGAATTGGTCAAACAGATTTAGGATTATGCCAATTTACCACAAAGCTACTCCTTGGGTGTAACTTTTAGGTGACTAATCTAAGACTAGGCTACTATTATTTTTTCTAAATGGCCAAGTCAAGGAAGTTTGTCATTCCCTGGATGACTCCTATCTTGAAACTATAGAAATATGACAGTCTTCAACCCTGATCAGACAAGTTTCATTTTATTTGTTCTTTACATTTCACCCAGCCCATAAAAACGAACCAACCAACATTGGATGTAGCACATAAACCTGTGACACGTCGATCACCTTTAGAGCTACACAAGAAGATTCTTATTTTTGTTACCATTATCATCATTGCCATCATCGTCACCACCATTGTCCCTGACACCACCGCAACAATCAGGATATAATGTACAGGTAAACAGGATTTTATTTGGGAAATTAAGTCTGTGAAACCTAACCAGTAACAAGGTATCTTCTAACTTTTTGCTAATTGGTTGCTTTCTATAATTCAGATTTTTTTCTGGTCACTGTCAACAAACATGCTATTGTTTCTGAGGTCTAAAGGCCTTGTAAAGTCTCTAGGAAAGTTTCAGAAAGTTGGAAAAAAGAACCAGATTGCAGCAAAGTTTTGCTCACTTTTTTAAATAACTACCCATAAGAACACTTTCATTTTTGTTCTCTAGTAACAGAATTGAAATAAACTTTATAATATAAAAATGTTTTTATATAAATAATTTAAAACTATGAATGTCTTTATAGATTTTTGGAATAATGTACTTTACAATACACATCATGAATTAGTATCTGGCAAACTTCTGGGGGTCCTCAAAACGTCATAAATATTTAAATGAGATTTGTTTCTAGGGTATTCTGTTTTTGTAGAGTTCCAGAAGAAAGTTGGAAGAGGAGGCCATTCAACTCATTTGATCATTAATTTCTCTGTTCCTATTCAAAACTTTCTTTAGTGATTTAAAGTCCTCTATAACAATAAATGAATAAATAAATAAATGAAAATAAAAGGTTTATCTTTATAAAATTTGGGAAATTTTGCACTGGAATCTTGTGCTAACTCTCGTCACTATATAACAACTTAGGTGCATCTAATTCAAATGGTGTGTAACTGAAGGTCTAATAAGTGAAAACTAGTTCATTATGCTTTGCAGTCAAACTGATAATGCAATATCAGAATATGTTTATAAGGAAATCTAATCTAGAAAACTATACCTGGTATGGACTATGGGGTAAATTATAGTGAGATTGATGGTTTAAAATTGAATAATGTATCTACTACTACTTGTATGAATATTATTATTGTAATTTGATTAAGGTGAATGGTTGATTATGTCAGAATAGCAATGAGCCTTTACTTGAAGTAGATTCAATCCAAAATTGAGGCAATGGTAGTACAGTTAAGTATATGAAGTTGGTTAAATTCATTGAAGATTAATTTTTAACCTATTCTCTTTATTTAATGTGGGGTTCATCCTGGAATACAAATCCCTACATTAAAAAAGAAAAAAATCTATGGCTAAAGTTAATTTGGCAGACGAAGGAGTAAACTGTTCCATGAATGGAAATTTTTTGGTATTTAGAACATCATTTTAATGGTTTCTGTTATTATTCAAAATAATAATCAATTCTTAAAGTCCATGAATCACATTTACTGAAGGAAGGGTTGAATAAATCATAAACTACTGTGATCTTTCAGATATCAAAGACTCTTCTTAATTGTTTATGACAGGAAGAAATCCATAATGGGGGGAGCCATATTGGTACTATAGTCAACAATCTGTTTTCTTTAGAACATCTAAAAGGGCATTCCAGAGCATCTAATAGAGCTTTCATAGAAAAACATTTTATAAGATGTTATGTAGTGATTATTTTTATAGAAACCATCTCAGCAACTTAAGAATCACCATTTAGGCTACATGTTTTGAGTTCCTCAAATTGATATGTGTTTCTCAGAAAGACTAAACTACCAGTCTACTAGCTAATCCAAAATAAATTAGAGATCTCACTATCACAATGAACTTCTACTCATTATAAGAACATATCCTCAGATATTAATAGGATTAAAAGTATTGTTATTAATTACTTTAATTGTATATTTCTTTAAAATGTGATTCATTTAGTATAAGAGACTGTGCCAGAGTAGCATTTTGCTCCGAGTATGAGATTAAACAATAGAATTTCAGTATGAAAGCTTACTTGCAGTGGGGAGTTTCTCTGAAGAGATTATGATTCTTGTAAACATGAATTAGCAAGTCATCAATATAAGGAAGAGGAAGGATTAAGAATAGAGAACAGAGCAGAGAGGAAATAAGAAAGGTGGAGTTACACAGTTGTGGCTTAAGGTAGTGTTTTAAAAAGTGTAACCCCCACAAAATCTCCTCTATCTAAAATTCAGTTGGTCCTTCAGGCATTAGAACAAAAAGAAAGATGCTCATAGTCATAGGGAATACTTAATTTGCCAAATATTAAATATTTGTAGAAATATTAGAAAATAAAGTTAAAGTAGACAAAAAAGAAAAATATCTATCCATGATCTCATAACAGGGATAACTGCAGTTGACATCATGATGTTTCCTTCCACATTTAATTAAAACTTTTAAATGGTTATATTATGTATTTGTTTATAAATCTACATACATCCTTACTCATGATGTGGCTATAGTTTAGAAACATACAATCAGACCTAATGCATATATTATAAATCATGTTGTATGAGTTGGAGGAAAGACAGGTAGATTTAGAATGTCTATTTCTGATTTGAGCCATTTTTCTCCTTTCATAGGTCAGGCATATCATCCCAGAGAAGATCTTGGCCACTATATTTGACAATCCTTGTTTTTCTTGGAGTGGCGGCAATCGTGGGAATAACTATTGGTCTCCTTGTTCATTTTCTGGCAGTCGGTCAGTATTAACTATTTTCAATTTTCACCCTTACTACTAAATCTCCTTTTACTTAGGAATTGTTAAGAAACAACATAAATATTAAATTTCTTTTGGTAAAATTTATTATTTATTAGTATTTTATTTCAACATAACACTTTTCCATGAAATTTATAAAAACCTTTTGAATTAGATGCCTCTTTGATCCACTGTATACATTATATCATCAACTATGGGAATACGGCAAGATTGAAATATTCAATATTTGACGCTAATATTCATTGTAAATAAAGGAACTTGTGTAGTAGGCCTGTAGTTGAGTTGTTATGTCTTTCAGTAAATATACCTCAAACTGTAGTGATCCCTACTCTTCTTGGCCCAGTTCTGGTATTGACAGATTAATCTGTCCAGCCGCAAATACTCAAGTTCAGCATACTGAATGCAACAGTGTTAAAGATTCTAGTTATTTGCTGTTCTGTTTTGTGATAAATGTTACAGATTAAAATTATGAAATGGTAGTTAAAAAAGGGTCTTTGGAGTTTATTTTTTGTAATCTAGTCTTTGTTATTAGTGAAAAATATTCCAGAGGGTTAAAGTGATATGCTGGGTGACAGCCAATTTGTGTCATCTTTTATTTAACAAGTTGAACTAGTTTATCTAACTTTACATACTTTACTCTTTTCAGAATGACCTTAGGTAACTTCTTAGACAGAAACTGGCATTTGCTTTTCATATGTACTGGTTGCCATAAGAAAAAATAGAGGAAGCTATAAAAAAAGGAAACTAATTTTAATTTTAGGTTGAAATATTTCTGACTTCCAGGACAATGAATTATTACAGCTCAGGTGATCACATTTTTCAAAGTCTATTAGCAGTGCTTGGAGACTATGTGGTGCTTTTTAAGGTTGCTCAAAAGCACAGCTGTTCTCGAAATATGTGAATGGCTTATCCCTAATCAAAATATGGTACCATTTCCTATTAGTTCCTATTTTTGAAAGTACATATATGACCTGGAAGAGCTACCTGTAGGCTTGTCATGTTTTAAATTATGGTGGCCTACTATATCAGGTGAAGCAGTTTACATTTGGGGATAGGAAGAAATGGGGAATGTGAGACCCATGACATATGCTAGGCACCAGCCATCAGATGTTATAGGGAAGTGCAAAGGCAGCATGAAGTTCTAAAGGAATGACTTCAAGGAGTGGAAAGAAGGCCAATAGTCAATGGGGCATAAGAAAGGGTGAAAGTGAGTGTAGATAAGTCAGAAAGTGAAGGGAGATGTTTCTTGTATCACAGGTATTTAGAAAGATTAACTGGGTAATTACTAAGCTTAAGAATTTAGATTACACATGAAAAATACATTGCATCTCTAGTGCATACTCAGGTAAATTGCTATTAGCTGCCAATATTAATGCTTTGAGGAGGATTCTGAGGGACAGTGATATCTATATCTTATGAAGAAAGGAGGGGGATCACTTTATGAATGCTGGGTAGTTGCTATTTCTAGAATAAGTGAATATTAATTTCCCTCCTCTTCTTTTATTCATCCCTATGATTATTTCTAAAATTAGGTTGAATATTATTTTTGACATAAAGATATGGAGGGACTTGCGGTCAATTTCTACTTTAAAATTCTTTGAGTATTTCTCTATTTCACAGGAAAGATTTACCATTACCAAGGGGATTTTCATATTTCTGGAGTCACATACAATGATAGCTGTGAAAATGCAGCCTCACAAGTTAGCAAAGATCTGAGCAAAGATATTGAGACTAAGGTAAGTTGGTGATTTATTTTATTAATTTCATTATAAATTTGATTAAAATAGACATGGTGGCTCTTTTATTTTTTCTCCTGACAGATGCTTGATGGATTTCAAAATTCTAGCATATACAAAGAATATGTCAACTCTCAGGTCATCAAACTTCTGTAAGTGCCAATTTATTTAGGATATTATGGAAAGGGATGTAGGTGATATGTAACATTAGCTCTGGTTTTATATAATAACAACGTAAAAGAGAAAAAGAGAGAGAGAAGAAAGGAGAAAGAAAAAAGGAAGGAAGGAAGGAAGGAAGGAAGGAAGGAAGGAAGGAAGGAAGGAAGAGTTGTCCATAAATTAAGGTATCATTGTATTTAATAAATTTCTGTTCACAGTAGGAACTGTTCTGTACAAATCTGTAATCTTATACCTAAAGGGGAATTACAAGGTTGTTTGTGACAATCAGGTCTAACTGACTTCTATGATAAAAGATAATTATAACTCTATGGAAAACAAGGATTCCAACTTTATTGTTTTGCTATCTATATATGAGCCACCTTTCCTTTTATCCATATCCATCTGGCATTCCTTTCCTAAAATAATCTCCTTTTGGTCTCTTTAGTATTACCATTACTGTAATAACTGTGGAGCAAAGTGAATCATTTAAGAGAGCATTTGTCTAAATATGTCTTTGAAGTGTATTTGAGGGTGGGGGAAGTAGTGCAGGGAGGAGGGTAGCATGTAGCATAGGGGATGTAGACAGCACTTGTATTTTGGTAATTGTCAATATCTATTCCAGAGATTTCTGAACTTCCAAAACAAAACAAACAAAAAAATCCAGATGACCAAATGCCAAACAACCAAACAACTTTCCTACAGACAAACAAAAACCTTCAAAGCTCTTCCATTGACCATAATTATTTGAAAATATAGTGTTGTTTTTTTTTTTAAATTGTGATTAACATGGCTTTTGGTTTGAAAGTCTTCCAAATGAATTAATTTCCTTTTCTGATTAATTAAAAGAATGTACTGAAAGTATAAATAATGGAGATTCTCTTCATGCTTTAGAGCTATCTTTCTGAGATTTCTCATGGTACAGATTTCTCATGGGGTAGATATGTATAAGAAACTATAAAAAGGAGCTTAGTACTGGCTCTTGAATATATTTTAGAAGCTATCTTTTGAATGCTTCCCAGTTTGACATTAAGCTCTCACTTACCTCTTAATCTAAATTTAAGTTTTTAGAAAGCACCTATATGAGAACATGGTTCTTTACTGTGTTATAATAAAATCTCATGTTAATCATTTATTGGCTGGTACTCAGTTTCTCTGATGTGTTTAAAATACAGCGTGGGGCAAAAATAGGTTCACAGTTGTGAGTAGGTGAAATACAGGGCTTATTATCGTATAATTATTTATTAATTATCATATTATTTTCCATATGAACAACTGTAAACCTACGTTTGTCCCACCCTGTATTCTGATTTCTAGTTTGTGGTTCACATCTTTGTCCATGCACCATACCTCTGAACCCATTAGAATATTTTTTGGGACCCTTGCACTTTAAACAAACTAGGACAATTTCTATGTATTGTTCTCTAATATATGTAAAAAAATATGGTAATTAAAATCTGGGAAGTTCAATGTGTTCACAAAACATCTAAAAAATCAAGAAGCGACAACTAGAACATTTCTGCTGTTTCTAGCCCTTTTCCCAATGGTTCAAGTGTGCAGTTGCAGCTGACATTCAAGTTTCCTCCAGCAAAGAGGGGGATCATGAAGCCTGCAATCAAAGCTGTCTTACTTCAGCTGTTGAAAGACAACATGGCGACCTGGAATGCAGTTCCAGCTTCCATTAAACTTACAGGTATTTCATTTATTGCCATTAGTCTCCATTACCTGGGCTTATGACTATTAAAGAAAAAGGGTACGAGGGAAAAAAAAAAGGCAAGAGTTTCTGGAATTTGTTTAGAAAAAATACGCTTCCCAAAGTCTGGCACTTCTATAATGAATTGGTAGTAGAAGGGTCAGTGCCATAGAATTTTGTCTGAAGAGTGATTGAAATGAAGTTAAACTGTAGCATGCAAGTTTGGAAGGGTTTATTGTCAATGTCTGAAAAGGCAGTGAAGGGACCTAATTGAAGCATTGTTCCCCTCTACCCTGTACTCTTGTCAGGATCCCATTACAGGAAACAGATTTAAGATTTTTTTAATCATTCAGTGTAAAGACTGTAATGGTAAGAATGAAGATGGAATAGGGAGTTTTTGTTGCTTCTTGAGGAAGAATGGGAATAATAGTATTAAAGAAAAAAAATTTTGTCTGGACTAATTCCCTAGAAAACAAGGGAAGAAAATGATAGGAATTTGCCCCAGTACAGAAAGTGAAGTTTGTAAAGACTTCAAGGTCCTGCAAAGGTTTTGAAACTCTCACTTGTATTGTTGGAGGGCCTGTTAGGTGATAAGCATGTGGTTACAGAGTCCAGTTTTGGGGTTCTTCCAGACTAACAGTTGATCTGAGTGTCCTTGAAGGCTATGAAGGCTGACAGCTGCTTATTACAGCTCCTTTCACTCAGAATACAGACTCTACCACCAATGGGCCACTGATGAGAAGTGAGTTTAAACTAGAACTTCTCAAAGGAGCGATACAATTCTCTGTGGGTAGATGTTGGGAAAGATAGCTGCACTAGCTACTACTCCTGTGCCCCAGGAATCCAGTCAGCACTGTCTGGTGTGCCTTCCTTTAGTTCCCTACTCTTCTCTTTCTCTCTTAAGTCTCTTCCCAATGGAAAAGAGACCTGAAAAGTTATATTCTTAAAATTTCAGAATTTAGTCTTAGTCAGGGGTCCTCAAACTACGGCCCGTGGGCCACATGTGGCCCGCCGAAAACATTTATCCGGCCCGCCGGGTGTTTTTGCCGCCGCTGTGTGCATAGGAATTTGTTCATAGTTTTTTTTAAACTATAGTCCGGCCCTCCAACGGTCTGAGGGACAGTGAACTGGCCCCCTGTTTAAAAAGTTTGAGGACCCCTGGTCTTAGTAATGAGATGATCCCAAAGAACAAGACCGATCCAGTGATAGTTATGACTGAACAACTGGAATGGCCAGGATGACCGATCAACCGGTCACTATAATGCACACTGACCACCAGAGGGCAGAAGCTCAACCCAAGAGCTGCCTCCTGGTGGTCAGTGTGCTCCACAGCGAGAGCACCACTCAGCCAGAAGCCAGGCTCATGGCTGGTGAGCGCAACTGTGGTGGTGGGAGCCTCTCCTGCCTCCGCAGCAGTGCTACCGAGTGGCGGTGGTGGCAGGCACAGTGGGGCTGGGATGAGCAGCAGCAGAGCTGTGCCCAGCCCCAGCTGGGGCTCCTCCCCAGCCGCCTGCCACTTCAATACTACTACATCCCCAAGGGGTCCTCGATTGAGAAAGGGCGCAGGCCAGGCTGAGGGACCCTTCCCGTGCACGAATCTGGGCCTCTAGTTTATATATATAAAAGCCTAAGCAACTGGCCGACTGGCCGATAGCTATGATGCACACTGACCACCAGGGGGCAGACGCTCAATGAAGAAGTGGAAACCACAGGCATGGAAACATGAAACAGACTGGTGGATCTCAGAGGGAAGGGGATTGGGGGAGGGCAGGATTAACCAAAGATCTTATATGCATACTAGAGGTCTGGTGCACGAATTCATCTCTAGTAAAATATATTTTTTTTCTCTTTTGTTCATTTTTATTTTTTATTTATTTTATTTTTTAATAAATATTGCTCAGATTATTACAGTTGTTCCTCTTTTTCCCCCCATAGCTCCCCTCCACCCAGTTCCCCTCCCACCCTCCGCCCTCACCCCCCCACCACTGTCCTCATTCATAGGTGCACGATTTTTGTCCAGTCTCTTCCGGCATCCCCCATACCCCTTTCCCCC